TCCATTGAGAATTTGGATGCAATTCTGATAGGTCTGCTTTTATATGTTACTTGGCATTTTTTCCTGTGCAGCTCTTAATATTCTTTCTTTATTCTGTATGTTTAGTGTTTTGATTATTATGTGCCAAGGGGACTTTTTTTTTGGTCCAGTCTATTTGGTTTTCTGTAAGCTTCTTGTACCTTTATAATCTTGTCCTTCTTTAGGTTGGGAAAGTTTTCTTCTATGATTATGTTGAATATATTTTCTGTGCCTTTGAGCTGGAATTCTTCTCCTTCTTCTATCCCTATTTTTAGGTTTGGTCTTTTCATGGTGTCCCAGATTTCCTGGATGTTTTGTGTTAAGAATTTGTTGGATTTAACATTTTCTTTGACTGATGAATCTATTACTTCTATCATATCTTCAACACCTGAGATTCTCTCTTCCATCTCTTGTATTCTGTTGGTTATGCTTGCATTTGTAGTTCCTGTTTGCTTACCCAGATTTTCCGTTTCCAGAATTCCCTCGGTTTGTGTTTTCTTTATTGCCTCTATTTCAATTTTCAAGTCTTGAACTGTTTCCTTTGCCTGTTTGATTGTTTTTTCTTGGCTTTCTTTAAGGGATTTATTGATTTCTTCCATTTTTTGTTTGTCTTTTCCTTTATTTCTTTAAGGGAATTTTTCATTTCTTTTTTAAGGGTCTCTATCATCTTGATAAAGTTATTTTTTAAGGTATTATTTTTTCTGCTTCATCTGCATTGGGATGTTCAGGTCTTGCTGTTGTAGAATTACTAGGTTCTGGTGGTGCCATATTGCTCTTTATGTTGTTGAATGTATTCTTACACTGCTGTTTACCCATTTGGGTTTGGGATAATTATAGGAACAGGTGTTAATTCTTATGCTGTCTTTGTTGGATGGATCTTTGTTCCTTTATTGTCTGTTTCCTTTATTGTCTTTTGGCCTGAATGGGCAAGGGTTACAGTGATTGGCTGGTTGTCATGCCCAGTAGGGTTTCTCAGCTGAGGTTTGTGGGGGTTTGGGTGCCTAGGTCCAGTGTATCGTCCAGTTCTTCTGGCTGGTGTGGGCTTTACTCGTTGTGCCTGTGCCTATGGAGTTTGTTCTTCCAACTGGTGTAGGTTTTGCTATGCCTGTTCTTCCAACTTGTGCCTCTAGGGTCTGCTGATGTGCCTGGAGAGGGTTGTTCACAGGGAGGCTGCTGGGGTAGGTGGGATTGGGCAGTGGAGTGGGTCTGTTCTTCCAACTGGTGTAGGTGGTGCTTGTTCCTATAGCAGCTGTTGATGTTGCAGGGGATGGTTGGCTAGTGGGGAGGATGATGGGTTCGGTGGATTTGGTTAGCAGAGTGGGTCTTGTAGGTTAGAGTACAATGGATGGTGGTGGTGGTGGTTGAGCGGCCTGCCCTCGGGACTCTTACCTGCTGGCTGGCTGCTGGGGCTGAGATGGGAGGAGGAAAGGCTCGGGATGTTCCTTGGGACTTGGGGCCTAGAGATTGGAGCAATTTAGCTGGGAGATCCCAATTGGTGCAGGTGGTACCTGTGCCTCTAGGGGCTGCAGATATTCCAAGGGATGCTTGGCCAGGAAGAGGAGGAGTTAGGGTGATGGAGTGGGTCCTGTAAGTTGCAGAATCCAATGTGTGGCAGTCCAGCGGTGGTGGAGCAGCCTGCCTGCAGGACTCTTGCCTGTTGGCCATCTGCTGGGGCTCGTTTATAATTTTTTTTTTAAGGCTGCTCATGTCATCAAAATTTTTTCTTTGTCCTTCAATCATAGCAGACAGTGCGTCTGAATGTATTATTTTAGGTTGGCTGTCGTAGTCTCTTAGGACATGAAATGCATTGCTCCAAGCTGTTCTTGCTTTCAAAGTTCCCATTGAGAAATCAATTATTATTCTGATAGTTTTCCTTTATATGCGCTTTGTGTTTTTTCTCTTGTAGCTTTCTATATACTTTTCTTTGTTATGTAAACTTAGTGTTTTTTTAAACTAGGGTTTCACATTTATTTCAATGGTTCAGCAAATATACACACATGTATATGTACATACTTGTCATATATACACATGTGGAGATTAAGACAGAGAAAGCGTAGCAAAACACTAAAATTGGGAATCTAGGTAAAGAATGTGGAAATTTTCATTGTACTGCCTAGCTACTTTCCTGTAGCTTTGGAATTTTAAACACAAGGACACAGATTTCAATAATCGCATGAAGCTAGCCTACACTGTCTACAAATAGAAACACAGCAACAACAACAAATTCAGGACAGTGGAATTCTGGGAAGGATTAGCTCATGAGGGAGAACCTCACAGGAGCTTCTCTATTTGAGTATGAATGTTGGATTTTCCTTTCTAGGAATTATAATATAGTCCACACATTTTTTGTTCTTAGTATATATTTCCAAACTAGGAAAAGATAAAAACAATGGGATGAAGTGCTGTGGGATGTTCTGTATGGCAAATGTGTTGCTGATTAGTCAATAAATAAAACACTGATTGGCCAGTGGCTAGGCAGGAAGTGTAGGCGGGACAAGGAGGAGAATAAAGCTGGGAAGTGGAAGACTGAGTCAGAGAGACACTGCCAGGCACCACAATGAGAAACAGCATGTGAAGATGCCGGTAAGCCACGAGCCATGTGGCAAGGTATAGATTAATGGAAATGGATTAATTTAAGTTGTAAGAACAGTTAGCAAGAAGCCTGCCACGGCCATACAGTTTGTAACCAATATAAGTCTCTGTGTTTACTTGGTCGGGTCTGAGCGGCTGTGGGACTGGCAGGTGAGAGAGATTTGCCCTGACTGTGGGCCAGGCAAGGAAACTCTAGCTACAATGAAGTATATAAAAAATATTTTTGAGGGAAAATCACTACCCACGATTGTGTGTGCATGTGTGTGTGTGTGTGTGTGTGTGTGTGTGTGTGTGTGTGTGTGTGTATAAATAAACTGTTTTGCTTTGTATGATATAAGGGGGCTTTTGCTAAGGAAGTTACACTCCTGAGGTCAGGCTACAGAAATGTACTGCCTGTGAGCTTATCATCTTAGTTTCCAAGAGAAAGTTCAATCACCAATTCTCAACACTGATTAGTTTGACATTATGTAATATGTTTTTCTAAACAATTCCTATGGATTATATAACACACCACAGTAAGTATTTCAGAATAAAATTAGTGTTTTAACTCTGACATGCCATGGGAATTTTGTTTTCTGGCCTTGTCTATTTGGCTTTCTATATGCTTCTTATATTTGTGTGAGGGAGACTTTCTTGAGCTGAGGGGAGCTTTCTATGATTTCGTTTTCTATGTCATTGATTTCAGACTCCTTTCCCTCATCTATGACTATATTTTGAAGGTAGGTTTTTTTTTTTTCATGGTGTCCAACATTTACTGCGTGTTGGTTTCCTGTATTTTGTTTAATTTAATTAATGTTCCTCTTCTATTTGGTCCAGATCCTCCGTTTCATTTTTGGGACCTGATATTCTGTTCCCTATTTGATCCATTCGACTTGTCCAGCTTTCCTTTGAGGGTTCGAGTTTGGGCTACTGGGTTTTCCAGTCCCGTCTTCATTTCAGCTAGTTTCTTTCTCGTTCTCCTCGGCGCTTCTCTGTACTGATGAAATTCTGTTCTCAAGTCTTGGATTGTTTCCATCAGTCCCCTCAGCATAATGTCTGTGTTTTCTCGGCCTCACTCAGGCATTTATTCTTCTTAACATGTTTCTCTTTGCTTTCACTGAACTGTTTCTTTATGTCTTCTTTAAACATCGTTAGTTCTTTGAGGAGGTTTATTATTATCCTTTTAATTTCTGTGTCCTGAGATTCATCTAGGGCAGTGGTTTTCAACCTTCCCAATGCTGTGACTCTAATACAGCTCTTTGTGTTGTGGTGACCCCCAACCATAAAATTATTTTGTTGCTATTTCATAACTGTAATTTTGCTACTGTTATGAATCATAATGTAAATATCTGTGTTTTCCCATGGTCTCAGGCAACCCCTGTGAAAGGGTCATTTGACCCTCAAACGGGTTGCGACCCACAGGTTGAGAATCACTGATCTAGGGTATTCTCATTTGGCAAGCATTTTCTCAGGATTGGTAGGATTTTAAAGGAAGATACGGATTTGATCTTTCATATTGGGATATTCCTGTGGTGAGATCTAGGCATGTGAACTCCTTTGTTAGTTTTGTTAGAGGTTTAGCAGGGTGAGCAATCAGAGAGGATGTGAGAGTGGGTGGGTTCTAGAGGTTGGAAATGGCTTGGATGGAATGAAGTCTGGTGGGCAGAAGGGACTTGGACTGGTATAGAGTATGTTCTTCCTGTTCCAAGTTGGAAGTATGGGGATAGATAGGTCTGAGTGGAATGCTTAGATATGATATGGGAGTCTCCTGTGGTATGGCAAATAGGTAGGGAGGATACTGGCTTAACCCAAGAGCTCCTCTGCAGTGGAGGCAGGGAAGACAGGCCTAGGCTGGTGCGGTGATTATGGAACCCAGGCGTAATCTGGTAGGTTATGGGAAAGATGTGGATGAAGAGGTCAAGGGTGTTCACCAGGCTAGACTGTGGAGGAGGATGTGGGAAGTTAGGGTATGTCCTGGCAGACATCTACAGTGATGGTCAGATGGGGCTGGGATGTGGGATTTGGGACCCTGTGGAAGCCTGGGGGGTCACTTCTGCAAGGCAGGGCTGGCCAGACTAGCCCAGCATGCTGGGATCCAGGCTAGATCCAATGTGATATGGAAAAACAAGTATTGGGTGGGGAAGGTACTCATTAGGCTAAACTCTGGAAGAGGATGTGGGAAGTCTGGGTATGGTATGGTGTGGTAAAGGCCGCCCAAAGGGTCCTGTGGGCAGATGCCTGTAGAGAGGATCCTGGCAGGAGTCTAGATGTTGGCCACAGAACAAGAGAAAGTTGTGAGACTAGACAGGAGAGCCTGTTAAAAATCTTTAAAAAGAAAATGTAAATGTGCTCCATAACTAAAAATATGTATATATTTATTATAGTATAGTTACTTTTGGTCTGTTTTTCAGAGCTTTAAATGATCAGAGTATAATTGAGACTGTAAGTATAATGTTCCTAATTTGATATTGAACTTTACCCTTGATTTTTGGAGAGACTCCACAAATGGCCATTTTCTATTGTTGTAATTAGAGAGTAGCACTCACTCATTTCACCCAGCTTCTCTGAGCTCGTGAACTAGAAGGCATTGCATGTTCTTTTCACTTTCTAGACATCATGATCACTCAGAAACACTTCTGAAGTACTAAGCTGGAATCTCCTGCTCATCTAGGCATGTCATTCCCAATGGCAGAATAGAAATTAATGCTAGTGCTCATTCTTTTCATGCTTTAGTGACGTTAGTCTTACATTAATAACGAAGTATTGAAAGAAATCTTACTGAGATGCTTGACTTTAATTGGAATTATTTCATTTGTCTTTAGAAATATAAACAGATGGAAGCTGATTTTCAAATATTATTATTGGAGAAAACCCTACTGGAAGGTGAAATACGGAAGTTGAGGGAGTCAGAGGTCGGTATATGCAAGTGATAGTAATGCCATACAGTACCCAATAAGGTCTAATGTCATAGAGATGGGAATCAGAGTAACAATTAGTTGTCTTATGACACATTTCTAATAGTCATAATTTGTAGAAGCTCTGATTTAAAAACTCAAATTAATGTTCTAAAATTCTGTATTAACTATCAAATCCATAAGGATGCTATAAAAACAGAAACAGTTCAGTTATTATGAAAGGCATTTTTTCATTTTAACCTTTTTTCTTTTTATTTATTCTTCTCTCATACAATATCCCCATCTCCATCTCATTTCCCTCCACTCCTTTCAGTTCCCACCACCGAATCCCTTCTCCCCAAGATCCACTGCTCCTCCATTTCCCTTTAGAAAAGAGCAGGCCTCCCAGGGATATCAACCAAACATGGATAACAAGATGCAATAAGACTAGGCACAAACCCTCATCTCAAGACTGGGTGAGGCAACCCAGTAGGAGGAAAAGGGTCCCAAGAGCAGGCAGAAAGAGTCAGAGACACAACCCAATCCCACTGTTAAGGAGACCCACAAAAACACCAAGCTAAATAACCACAATATATATGCAGAGGACCTGGCGCAGACTCATGCAGGCTCCAAGGTTGCCACTTCAGTCTCTGTGATCCCCTATGAGCCATGGTTAGTTGATTCTGTCGGCTGTTTTCTCATGGTATCCTTGACCCCTCTGGCTCCCACAATCCTTCCTCCTCCTTCCCCTCTTCTATGAGTTTCCCAGAGTTCTGCCTAATGTTTGTCTGTGGGTCTCTGCATCTGCTCCCATCAGCTGCCAGAAGAAGCCACTCTGATGACAATTTGGGCTAGGTGCCTATCCATGAGTATAGCAGAATATCATTAGAATCATTTCATTGACTTTTTTTTTTTCTTTTTGGTTCTACCCTAGGAATCTGGGCCACCCTGCTTCTGGTTCCTGGCCATCCAGGCAGTGTCTGGCATGGGCTCCCAAATGAGACCAGTCACTGGTTGGCCACTCCCACAAGCTCTGAGCCACCATTGCCCCAGCACATCATGCAGGCAGGATAGGGTTTGGGTCCAAGGTTTTGTGGCAGTGTTGGTGTCCCAGTCCCATCACTGGAAGCCTTGCCTGGTTATAGAAGATGGCTGGTTCAGGCTTTATATCCTCCATTACTAGGAGTCCTTGCTAGGGTCACCCTCATAGGTCCAAGAAATTTCCACTGCACTAGGTTTCCACATTGCCCCCTAGATGTCCCCCTATTTCCAGCTCTCTCTCACTGTACTCTCTCGTTCAGTACCCCCCCTTCTCCACCTGATCCCTCCTGTTCCAATCCCCACTCACCCCTAGTCTACCCACAAAATCTATTCTATTTCACTTCCAGAGGAGATGCATGTGTTCCCATAGATCCTTCCTTGATACTTAGCCTCTCCAGGTTGTGGATTGTCGCATGATTATCTTTTACTTAACAGCTAATACCCACTTATGAGTGAGTATATATCATGTTTGTCTTTCTGGGTTTGGGTTGCCTTGTTCAAGATGATTTTTTTCTAGTTGTATCCATTTGCCTGCAAATTTCATGATATTATTTTATTGAACTGCTGAGTAATACTCTGTTGTGTAACTGTACCACATTTTCTTTACCCATTCTTTGGTTGAAGGACATCTAGATTATTTCCAGATTCTGGCTATTATGAATAAAGCTATTATGAGCATAACTGAACAAGTGTCCTTGTGGTAGGATGGACATCTTTTGGGTATGTGTCCAAGAGTGGTATAGCTGGGTCTTAAGGTAGATCGATTCCCAATTTTCTGAGGAACCACCATATTGATTTCCATAGTAGCTGTATGAGTTTGCACTCCCACCAGCAGTGGAGGAATGTTCCCCCTTGCTCCATATCCTCACCAGGATGAGCTCTCACTTGTGTTATTGATCTTGGATTTCTGACAGGTATAAGATGGAATCTCAAAGTAGTTTTGATTTGCATTTCTCTGCTGACTAAGAATGTTGAACATCTCTTTAAGTGGTTCTCAGCCATTTGAGATTCTTCTGTTGAGAAATCTGTTTAGATCTGTAATCCATTTTTAATTGGGTTATTTGGTTTGTTGATGTCTAGTTTCTTTAGTTCTTTATATAGTCTGGATATTAACCCTCCTTCAGATATGGAGTTGGTGAAATCTTTCCCATTCTGTGGGCTACCATTTTGTCCTATTGACAGTGTCCTTTGCCTTCCAAAAGCTTTCCAGTTTCATGAGTTTCATTAATTACTGATCTTAGTGCCTTCACTATTAGTGTTCTGTTTAGGAAGTTGTCTCCTGTGCCAATTTATTCAAGGATATTCCCTACTTTCTCTTCTATCAGGTTCAGTGTGTCTGGTTTTATGTTGAGGTCTTTGATCTACTTGAACTTGGGTGTTGTGCAGCATGATAAATATGAATCTGTCTGCATTCTTCTACACAAAAGCACCCAGTTATACCAGCACCATTTGTTGAAGATTCTTGCTTTTTTCTATTGTGTATTTCTGGCTTCTTTATCAAAAATCAGGTGTCCACAGGTGTGTAGATTTATGTTTGGGTCTTCAATTCAATTCTATTGATCAACATGTCTATCTTTATGCCAATATCATGTGGTTTTTATTGCTATAGCTCTGTAGTACAGCTTTCAATGAGGGATGGTGTTGGAATTTTGATGTAGATTGTGTTGAACCTGTAGATTGCTTTTGGTAGGATGACCACTTTTACTATGTTAATTCTACCAATCCATGAACATAGGAGAGCTTTCCATTTTCTGATATCTTCTTCAGTTTCCTGAAAGACATTTATATGGCAAATATTTGACTTCATAAATTTGTTAGTGAATGAGAGTCAGAATTTTGTCCCCACCCCCACCCTCTCGGAGTTAAAGACTGAATCCCAGGCCTTGTGATTGTTAGGCAAAACCTACCCCTGCACTAAATTCCCAGCCCCAAAGTCTTTTCAGTAAATCTTATGTTCTCTATGATTAGTTAATTATACCAACTAGTATGAGTAGAAATAAGTGGAATGCCAATGATACAAGAAAATTTGCTTCCTTTATATTTTCTTTTTTTGCTATTTTTATTCATGTTATAAATTCAAACCACAGGCAAGAGTCAAATAAAAGTCAAATTTTTTAAACCAGTTAAGTCACTGTGTGCGTAGCTGAAAGAAAACACTCTCCTTTTGGATTTTTGGAGATGTTTTTCTTACCCTGTACAGCAGGCTAGCCAAGACCTCACATCAACCCACCTGCCTAAATCTCTCAAGTGCTGGGACCATTGTGCCCATGGACTAATCTTGAGTCCACTTTTGTTGGTTACTTGATATTTCTTTGATACTGGAGGAGAAAGTAGATATTATTTTCCATCAATTCCCTCTCATTATTTAGTATTTACTGGTCTACAATGTGTATGAGTTTTTATAGGAAACATCTTTAAAAGCACACTAGGTTATTTGGGGATATAATAGTTCTCATTAAAATACATTACTAAGTTCCATATTTCTGTGTTTTTTATTTGATGTTCTGGTTGTTGAGATAATACCTTAAGTCCCTGATCCTCCTGCTTCACCTCCCAAGTGTTGGGTTTACAGATCAGCACCACTGTGTCTAGCCCCCGCCCCTCCTTTTTTTTTGAGACAAGGTTTCTCTGTGTAGCCCTGACTGGCCTTGAACTCGTAGAGATCTGCCTGCCTCTGACCCCTAAGTGCTGGGATTAAAGGTATGCACTACCACTGCCTGGCTGTAGTGTTTTATTTCAGAGGAATTATTTCACCCATGTTTATCTTATGATAAGTTTACCATGATAGCACATTTGTGTACATTGGAATTTTTAATATAAAATAACCATATGCTGCCTTCATTTGTCCTTATTATAATCTGTAATTTTAATAAGTGAAAACATTCTTTCTCTACATTCCTATATAAAATAATCTGGTCCTTCAGAGTGGTTCAAGAATATTTTGCCCAGGTATGCTGATATATACCTGCAATTGTACCATTTGAATAGGTGAGGCAGGAGGACCATGGCCTCATGTCCAGTCTAGACTACTTAGACCCTGTCTCAGAAATGTTTTAGCACATGTGTTCAGCTATGATGTGATGATGGCGTTGAGACACAGATGTGTACCAAGTATGCTGTACAATTTAGTATAATGTCAATTTCAATGTGTGTGCCATTCTGTTGGAATAAACGCCCGTTGAAGGCAGCTCTGCCAGCTCAATGATTCTCAACACAGTCTCACCTAAGTCACATCTGGTGTTTCAGTTTTCTTTGCAGTTACAGATAAACCCGTTTCACTTCAGGTTCAACCTCTACACATGAGTTTTCAGGTCTCTTTCAGGACAAGGGGCTGCGTCTTTTCCATAAACTTGTGTGTTCTGAGTCATTCGCCTTAGTTTTTTCAGTGTATCACTGATGGTATTTTTGCATGATGCCATCCTAACACGTCCTCCACGTCCCTCTTGCTCTACTCCAAGTACAGCACAGTGAGGTGACTTTTAGGAGCCATAGGGCACACCGTAGCAGAGCTGGAAAACTGTCGGAGGGAGTTAATGACTTCAGCAGATGAAATTGCTCAAGTGTATGGCTACAGAGGGTAGCGAGATCAGTAGTGAGTAAAATGCTTACCACGCAAACTGAGGAGCCGAATGTGGATTCCCCAGCACCCACGTAAAAAACTGGGTGCAGTGGTGCACCTATAACCCCAGCGCTGCGGCATGGAGATGGCCAGGTTCCAGGAGTCTGCTGGCCAGCCAGTCTAGCTGAAATGGTGAGCTTCGTGTTCAATGAGAGACTGTGTCTCAAAAACTCCAATAGAGAGCAATAGAGGAAGAGCCCTGACCTCTACACATCGTGTGTACCCCCATTCTTTCCCTTTATTGAAGTCTAAACACAAACAGCCTAGGTATGTCATTAATTTTGCTTTGTTTCTGTTCAGATACTTTTCCCTGAAACAGTAGAGTGACTCGCGGGGTGAAAGGAAAATCTCCGCAGTATATACTACTATGCACCTCCTATAACTCATGCTACTCTTATTTTGATTTGTTCAAAACTATATAGAAAGCAAAGCCTGCGAGCAAAGAAGATCGAAGCAAGAAACCTGCAAAACCAGAGAAGAAAAAAGATAAAGATTCAGAAAGGTAAGGCGTGAAGATATGTGATCTTTTCCTTCCTCGGTAACTCATACTTTAATTTTTAGAATTTAAGATTGAAAAAATGTGCCTCATTCACAGTTTTTTAAAATAAAATTAACAAGTGCTATAATCAGGCTAAGATTTGGCTGGGAAAAGCCAAAAAGGACAGAACAAGACTCTGTGACGGGATTAGAGGTAGCACGTGAAGCCAAAGAGTTAAGGGCGAGGAATGAATGTCACAGGGAACGAAGGGCTTTGGGTCGGCTCCTCATCGCCAGCTAAGGCTATAAATTCTCTAGACTTTGTTCTCTTCCACTGCAGGTTTTAATTATGCTCAGTTTTATTTTTTTAAAAAAACAATTACCTATTTTTATGAATGGATTATTGTAAAGTGGCTCTAGTAATTGAATATAAATATCATAAACTGAGGATTGTAATTCAAAGTTGCTCGGTATGTCTTACTTAAAATAAAGTTTTTGAATGAGCCTATGAATTCAATGTTTATAGAGAGCTTTAGTTCCTGGAAAGAAATTTATTAGACAAAAAAAAAAAATGTCCTTCGAAGAATGGTGATCAGGGAAGAAAAAATGCTTAGTGCATTTTCAAAATCTCAACTACTTCACATTTTAATCATGCCATTGAAAAGCTGGCTCAAGAAAACTTATTGGTTTGTCTACCACCTAAGCCATGTGGATTTAATGACTGTCTTAACGTATGAGGGGCCGAGGAGGTGGCTCAGCAGGTAAAGGCATTTGCTGCATAAGCCTGGCGACCTGAGTTTGATTCCTGGATCCCACATAACTCTCCTGGGGAGATGGCAGACAGGAACAGTCATGTGTGCAGTGCAGTGGAAGAAACAAGAGACCCTGCCTCACGGTGAAAACAAAGAACGGACTCTTTAGAAATAAAAAATGCGCTTGCTTTCTTAACCTCCAAGCATACACTATGACATGACATGAGCATGCGCTGTATGTGTGTGTGTGTGCGTGCATGCACACGTATGTGTGTGTGTGTTTATGTGTGTTAAAGGCATGTATTTCTTGTAAGACTTTAAATGGTCCTAGGGAAAGCAAAGCAGCAATGTGTTTTCAAATGTCATGATGTATTTTTTTTTAAACATTTTTAATTACAGGAAGACATCTCCAAGCAGAGAACTTGAACTGCTTCAAATCCAAGTAAGATACAGTCTCTCTGAGACTATACATTCATGTAATAATTCATACAAAATTATCTTCTGCCTGTTACTTCTGATTTGCCTCTTAAGAGCTTCATTTTGATGACTCACTGGCCCTTTGGAGCCCAATCTCCTCTGAGGTGGCTGAGTCACATCAAAAGCCTGACTAGATTTCTGGCCTCTTTGCCATGAGTTTCTCTAGTTTCCAGGTCCCTGAGATCCCTGATTGGTGGTTAGAGATTTGTTTACTCTTTGTCTCCATTGTTACTTGGTTTTGTTTTTGTTTCCTTTCAGATTTCAATAAGAAGAATCATATAGATTTCCAATCTTTTTCTTAAAATAATTGCTTTATTTAAGGAGATTTAAAGTTTTTTTTTTTTTAATTTTTACTTGACTTTAGTGTTTCTGGCAAGATACAGCCTTCGCATTGTCTATTTCCTGCGTGATGTTTGGGTTTTTTCTTTCTTAGTCCCACTTTTCCATTGTTTTCAACAGTTTGGTTTTGTTGCATGGGCACATGACAGCTCTTAACACACTAAGTTGGAGTGAGCTCAGCATCTTGAGTATGTAACTTTTGCCAAGGTTTCAAATATGTTTCTACCTCTTTTTGCCCCTGTACAAAAATACAGTTGGATGGTAGAAATCGGACGTCACTCTATATGCTCCTCATGTGGTTGTAAAAGGTTTGTCTCTGTATTTACGTATTTTACATTGATATGTCTAAGTGGTGTCACCTTTTCCTTGTCCTATCGGACTTCTGATTCTGTCTGTACATTCAGTTTTTAAACCCTGATTAATTGTTGATCATACAGTTGTTACCATTTGGCCGTTTATTATAGTTCGTTTGTGTTTGATGAGATCTCTGCCAATTCATTCATAGACATGTTGGGCACTGTCATGACGGCTGCTTTAAAGGGGTTTCATGGTAATGCTAAAGTCGGGATTGTCTTGGGGTCTCTTTCTTGGTTTCTTTTGCCTTAATAGTAAGTCCACTTTTCCAGTTTATTCAAATTGTTTTGTGGGTGTTGTGAGTAATGTGGTGTTAAAACTCCATGACCTGCTATGTCCTTTTGATGACTAGTATTTTTCTTCTCTATTATGTAGTGAACATGATTGGGTGTGAGTGAAATTATATACCTAGCCAGCCACTTATTTTAATTTTATCCAGGTTGTTTCAAGTCTTTCCTTTCTGTGTGTGGTTCAGAAGTCCGAGAAGGTTTGGACAGATTTTATACAAAATTATTGGACGCTTGTCTTCAGTTTTCTCCTTCCTGTGACTTCCACTGAGTCTTTGATGGTTGGAATTGTCCCAAACTTTGTCCTTGTTTGGAAGTGATAAAGACAGAGGCTCCCTGTAAGCTCAGGAGTACCTCATACGGCTCAAGTAGGCCTGACTCCCAAACAGAAGGCCCTGAAAACAGGACTCCTACCCAGGCCTCCCTCTCCTCCGTGGACCACTTACCCTCGTTTGCACATCAGTGTTGCTGCTTCCCTTCTGTGCAGAGGGTACAGTGGCTAGATACCGCCTAGATTGTCCTTGAGGAGCCTGTTGTGACACACAAAAGGCATGCACAGGGCTTCAGACCTGCGTCTCAAACCATCATCCACTGCAGGTTTTCTGAATGTGTAACTTATTAATTTTGGCCAAGCCTGGACTATATGTTAAAATTGGGGATCCTAGCAATGATCTAGCAACATTTCAAATATTTCCATTTAAATATTTCAGACGTGAAGAGAATTATAGTAGTTGCAATTTACAAGAGTCATCGTAATCACGCATGTGGGGAATCAATAGTGAGCTATAGTGTCAGGTGGTATCCACCACCGCATAGGAGAACTCGGTAGTTCAGATCGTCATACTGGCAGTCTGTGGGTTCGAGACATGTGATAACCACAAAAGGTAAATCTGAAAAGTACCAGAGTGAATGTTGCTCTCTCTTTTGACTCCCTAGAAAGAAGCAGAAGCGCTGAAGATGGAGAAGAAAGCCCTCCAGGAACAACTGAAGTGGGCTTTGCAGGTGAGGGGTGCCCCTCTAAACGATGGCGAGCAAAGGCAATGGCTAGCAGGGAATTTCTAAACTTTGATCTTATAAACTGAGTGTGTGTCTGTATACACATATATGTATGTACATACTCACGGCATGTATATATACACACATACAAATATATTAATAGGACGTAGTGTTCATTCCTGTCTAAAACAACAATCCAGAAAGAAAATAAATCTTTCTTCATGAAGAAAACAATCTCTGAAGAAAACTGCCGATACACAACTCGCTTGAACATAAAATACTAACTACTCAGAGGAGAGATGGCTCATCAATTAAGAGTGCATACTGCTTGGGACTGGAGAGATGGCTCCAAGGTGAAGAGCACTGGCTGCTCTTACAGAGGACCTGGGTTCAATTCTCAGCACCCACATGGCAGCTCCCAACCTTCTGTAACTATAATTTCAGGGGATCCCCTGGCCTCTTCTGGCCTCTGCTGGTGCTGCACACACATGATGCATAGACATATACACTAAGGTAGAACACACATACACATAAAAACAAAAATAATCATAAACCTTTAAAAAAAAAGAGTGCATACTGCTCTTTCTGAGTACTGGAGCTTGGTTCCCAGTCCATGTCTGATAGCTCACCACAGCTTCAGGGAATCTGATATTCTCTACTGGACTCCACAGGAAATTGCTCACAAATGTACACATACCCACACTCAGATGCCCATACACATGGATAAAGAAGGAAGAAAGGAAGAACCGATTCCTGGTGTTCCAATTAAGGTTAATAAGATTAGTATATTGTCTCTTTCTGCTCTTTCTCAAATTCTAACCAAACAAAAATTAAAATGAGATATAAACATTCATAAATGGACATACAAAGGTATAAATACTTATATTTTATATAACGTTTTACTTAAAATATAAAATTCTTTTATTATATAATTTTAAAGGGTAGCTAGTAACAAAGAAACTGCATTTTAGAATAAAATAATAAATAAGAAAGCAATAGATTTTTATCCAAAATATTTTTTCAACTACATCATTTGGAAAGTGGAATACAAAAAAAAATTAGAATGATTTAGGACCAGCATTTAGCAAAAGTACAGACAGTTTTTTATGAAGGGTCATAGATGAAGAGTGAAGGAACATAGATTTTCCAATCTGAAAGTTTTGTTTTATCAGTATTTCAATGTATCATGTTTCTCAAATTGATACATAAGCATAAAGAAATCTGCTCATGCCTACAAATGCAGTTATTGTTGAGCATAACAAAGCTGCTATAAGATGTGAAGGACAAGAATCAGTTGCGCAAAAGAAGAACCGTTGAGGAGGTGATCCTAATCCAACATGAGTGTATACTGTAAGATTTCTGTGACCAAAGCCCTTCCACTTCTGGTGCTGAATGTAAAGCAGGAACACATTCAAATTAACATGCTAATACAATATTTAATAATTCATAGTACTAAAAGTTCTTATAGAAGGATAAAATAGTCACAGAGTCACACAGAGTAAACACTCAGGGAAAAATAAGCTAAATACAGTCCTGATTGCTTGAAAGTACCAGAGTTACAAGTGAACATTAACGAGAATTGAGTAGTATGTTGCTGGCCGGCCACAAGAGTGTCCAGTGTGGCTGCACGCATCCCAGTGAAAGTGATGACAACATCCTGTCATTGTCTGTCCCAGCTGGCTCTCTCTTGCTGTGATAAAACACTGACCAAAAGCAACCTGGGAAGGAGAAGTTTGTTTGGCTTACAGGTCCTGTCACTGAAGGAAATCAGGGCAGGAACTGGAGAAGAGGCAGAGGCAGGAGCCATAGAAGGAAGCTGCTTACTGTCTTGCTTGCTGCTTCTGCTCAGCGAGCTTCCTTAGACCACCTTCTTAGGGGCGGCACCAGTCACTGTGGGCTGAGCCCTTCTAGATTCATCATTAATCCAGAAAATGTCCCACAAGAATGCCCATGGGCCAATCTGATGGAGGCATTTCCTCAGCCAAGGTTCCCACTCCCCAGGTGACTCTAGTTTGTGTCAAAATGACAAAAACTAAATACCATACTGCCAAAAGGTCAGATACCCTGGTAAAGCCAACCTTTCTAAGCATTATTACCCAAAAGGAACATGTTTATGAATCTGAGTCTACTAAAGTAACAACTTGTAAATTTTTAAAATTTTATTTACTTACTTTATGTGTATGGGTGTTTTGTCCATGTGTATGTCTGTACCGTGTGCATGCAGACCCGCGGGGCCTGAAAAGAGTACCAGATCCCCTGGAGCTGGAGTCACAGTCAGCTGTGAGCCACCATGTGGGTGCTGGACATTGAACCTGAGGCCTCTGGAAGGGCATCGAGTGCTGTTAACCGTTTGGCCATCTCTCCAGCCTCCCCTAAAAGTATAACTTTCAAGTGGTAACTTACGGTTAGAGCTGTTCCACACCTTCTTCTCTGGTTTGTAAGTTATAAAGGCCTAGGGTCTCCAGCGTGGATGTGAGCTGCTTTTGTGGCTCAGGAAAGGCATGCTCCCTAACTGAAAGCCACGAAAATGGGAATCTTGTCAAGGTAAATATACAATATAGATAGTCTCAAATATTTTATCTAAAGATATTGCATAAACTTCCCTGAAATACCCAAGAAACACAAATAGGCAAATTGTGATTCAGAAACAAACATGCTCAATAAAACACAGAAACATAAGTATCAACCTGGTTAATTATTGAATCTCACTTTAAAAAGAGTTGCTGCTCACCTACAATTTTGTTAAAACTTAAGGAACAGAAATACCTAATATTTGTGGATATATGACAAAAAATCTTTCCCACATTTCTATTATATCAGCATGAATTACTTGTTTGAAAGAAAACACACAGTGAAAGTCTTGGGGAAATATAGCCATTTCATTTAGTAAGTTCACTTCTAAAAGTTTATTCTAAAGAAAAAAATGTACAGAAACTTTCAGCTAAGGTATAATGAATTTTAATAGAAAATGGTTTGAAATGACCAAAACACTCACTGGTAAAATATTTGCAAATTAAATAACATCATTTCACTAAATATATTCTGTTACCTATTCTTGTGAATAGATATTTTGTTGTAAAAATATGACATTTTTAATGAAAATACTATATTATGTATGCATATCCATAAATATACCAGAGAATATATATAAGGGTTGAGTGATTTTTCTATGTGATGAATGTTTTTTTGGTGTGAGTTTTCTTTTTCATGTTTTTCTTTGTAGAACAAATTCTGATCCTTGGTGTTGTAAGCACCCCCTTTTTGAGGTCTTTATGGGGTGCCATTGTTGATCATGGCCTTGAAAATCACAACTTGGGAAAATGCCTGGGCTTTGTTTTAATAACATAAAAATGGAAGACCTTTTTTATTATTATTCTTTTCCAGCCTGCCAATAGCGTTTATTAATTCGAATTGTAAAGCTGTTAAATTATACAAGATCATTTAACTTAGCTTCCTTGGGTCAGTTAGAGAAAACGTTGGTATCACTACGTGTAGATTCCTAAAAGATGCACTTTGGCAGGGAGATGTGACTGAAGCTTGACAAACTACTTTCTCACATACAGGAAGCTGAAAGAAACAAGACTCAACTCGACTACGTCCTACATCAAGAGATGGAGGTGTTTAAAGAAGAGAAGAGTAAAACAAAATTGGAACGGGTTTTCAGTAAATCAAAGGTCAAGGGTGAGACTTCCAAACAGTCTCATTCAGCGGAGAAGGTCGCACAGCCGAGTGAACAAAAGCAGGACTCTGGCAAGGTGAGGGAGAAACCGACCAAAGCAGTCAGCATGTCATCTACAGGAGACATTTTCATATCCTTTCTCACTGTATTGGCATAAATTATTTTCATTTATTTGGATTCTTTACTTTTGAGCTTTAGATATATGAGTTCATTGACCTCCTAAATACCAACTATAAACTGGCAATTTTGGATGATGATTTAAACATTTATTTGAGAACAGGAAGGAAACAGGGTTTCAAAGACTAAAGATATCCTGCTTAAAATGGAGAAGATTCAATATAAATGCAAAATCACAGAGGGGAATTCTAAAGACTATTTTATTTTGTTTCTGTTGAACTGTGGATTCAGAAGACCACCCACCCACCCACCCAGAAATGCTTTCTTGAACTTTGTTTCAGCTTTGTTGGGCCTGACCCTTTCCCAGGATCTGAGCCTCTTCTTTGATTAGCCTGCAGGTCTTTGTGATGATGCTCACTTGTGACGATGCTCACGCATGCATACTGACATGTACCTTCCACTGTATCCACACACATGTTGTCTTAAGTCAATGGAAAATGCTATGCATTCTGTCACATGTCACATTCAGGCTGTTCCCAGTTTGCTCCTTCTGCTTGTTTCTCTCTTGTTTCATAAAATTTTTCTTGTAAATGGAGGTGGAGTTTCTCTGTTCTGACCTCCCAGTCCCAAATAAACACACAAAAGCTTATATTAATTACAAAACACTCAGTCAATAGCTCAGACTTATTACTAACTAGCTTTTACTTTTAAATTAACCCATTTCTATTAATCTATGTATTGCCAGGTGGCCTGTGGCTTTACTGGTCCTCTGGCATCTTGCTTCTTGGGTGGCTCGATCAGATCTCTCCCAACTCCACCTTTCTTCATCTGAGTCCTCAGTTTGATTGTCCCACCTAACTTTATCCTGCCTTGCTATAGGTCAATCAGCCTTATTACTAACTAATGAGAATAATACATACTCACAGCATACAGAAGGATTATCTCATAGCATTTTCTGTTCACAAAAAGGGGTGAAGAGTGAAAAGTACCATTCCGGTTAGTTATCTTCGGCTGCATAATAAATTCCCACAGGACTTCATGGCCCAGACAGCACACAGTTATCTCAGATTTGTGGGCCAGGATCCAGCTGGGCCTATTGGATCTGGGTCTCTTTAGAAATGGGTACAGTCACAGTATCAGCTTGGCTGCTCTGGTCTTTGGGTCCACATAGTATAGGGTGTACTTGTTAACACCTCAGTCCTGGATAGGCTGTGGTCTTAAGAGTCAGTGCATTGCCTAAGGAAGATAAAGGTAAGAATGCATCAGTATACACTCTAGCTATGACAGTGCAGGAAAATGTCACAGAAGGCTGTCCTTAAAACACGTTCTTCCCAGCCGGGTGGCGGTGGTGCACACCTTTAATCCCAGCACTCGGGAGGCAAAGCCAGGTGGATCTCTGTGAGTTCGAGGCCAGCCTGGTCTACAGAGTGAGATCCAGGACAGGCACCAATACTACACAGAGAAACCTTGTCTCAAAAAACCACTTTCTTCCCAACCTGAAGCTAGAAAGACAACAACACAGCAGCAAAGTCAGGTGTTTGGTCGTGCACACGACAAGTCCTCAATCTGACTGTGTCCTCTGCATCAGAAAACCTCCATTTCCTAGTGAACTGATGGTCATGGCAAGACTATACATGAGAAGACTCCATCACTGCAGTGAAACCAGGCTGAGAATGTGGCCAGGACGTGAGAGGTTGCATGCTCAAAGCAGATTGAGGGAGACTGTGAAAGTCCCGAATTGTGCACTAAATTTAGCAGTTTGGCTTTCAATACTCAGAACAGAAGGAATCATGGAAAGATCTCAGGCAAAGGAGTAACATGTAAATACCTGTATTTTTAAAGCAAGCAAATGATGAATTGCTAAGAGAGGTGGATTATTCTCCTTTCTTGAGCCCATAGTTTAAAAGTCCCTTGTGTATATGGCAAATAAACTTACTCCTGCTTCTGTTAATGTCACTCTCTCAGTATTCCAGCACTCTTGGCTGGCTGTGACACCGCTACTGTCTAGGTTAAGTTTTGTGTCTGCTGTGGGAGACTGTACATTAGTTCTTGAATCTATGTTTCACGTTGTTATCACTGATGTCAGGAGATAAAAACATAAAACCAAAAATCAATAAAGGAAAAACATTGCATCTCTGCTACTGAATGCTATCTTCTGTTATATAAAATCCCTATCATGTGATCTCAGAAGTAGGATGGAACAAAAGAGTGGCTGGCTTGCAATATTGCTGGAATTAAGTTAAAGGGCCAGAATTGCTATTATTTCTGTCAGGAACTGAACACAGTTATCTGTCAATCCTTAATTAATGGGATGCGGTAACACTTTAAAGAGTTAATGAGTATAAAATGATATATTGTTCAGGAACTTCTTATGTATTTTGTGAGTACTGTGTAACACTATTGCATGGTTTTGCTGGTGTTTTTTATCTTAGCCATAATTATCTATATGAAAATCCTTTGTGTTTATTAGTGTGCCGCTTGATTCTGTAACAGACACACAATGTGAAATGGCTCTATCATACCAGTTCGATGTAGCATGAATCTTAGAGAGTCTTATTAATAAAATCAAACCTGAGGCCAGTTATTGGGGTGAAATGCTGGATGGTCAGAGAAACAGAACAAGCCACAGTTATCTCACCTCGCCAGATCCTCAGCTGGTTTTGTTTCCTCAGACTGGAAGCTTCTGTGTCCTCATCCCAATGGCTCTCAGCTGAACTGCTGCTCGAAAGCCTGAAGCTTAACCAGCTAAAAGCTTCTAGTTTCTGGTTCTCACGCCTTATATATCTTTCTGCCTTCTACCACCACTCCCTGGGATTAAAGACTCGCTTTCTGGGATTAAAGGCGTGAGTCACCATGCCTGGCCGTTTCCAATGTGGCCTTGAACTCACAGAGATCCAGAGGGATTTCTGTCTCTGGAATGCTGGGATTAAAGGCGTGAGTGCCACCATTTTCTAGCCTCTGTATCTAGTGGCTGTTCTGTTCTCTGACCCCAGATAAGTTTATTAGGGTACACAATATTTTGGGGAACACAATACCACCACATTTCCTCTCTTTTTGTCTAAAATTAAAAATCACTGAGGGTCAACCAGGGTCAGTATCTGTGGGAGAGTTCTCTATGGCATTCATGTGTCCTGGCATAGAGAATCCTTACCATTGTACAAGTGACTTCTGGCACCGCACTCAGCCTCACTGCTCAGGGCTGACCCGAGGAACTTTCCATCTGCCACACTTAAGTTGAAGGAAACGCAGAGATGCAGACTAGCAAAATGTCTAAGCAGAAAAGGGAATCAGTTTGGTGAGCTGCCGAAAGTCTTTCTGCAGGTGGATAAAGAATGTTCATATGCAGCACTCGGGAGGCAGAGCCAGGCGGATCTCTGTGAGTTCGAGGCCAGCCTGAACTACCAAGTGAGTTCCAGGAAAGGCGCAAAGCTACACAGAGAAACCCTGTCTCAAAAAACCAAAAAAAAAAAAAAAAGAATGTTCATATGAAAGAAGCAAAATTAGGTGATCTTTGGTCCTGGCATAAAACCCAGTGTCAACATCCTATGACAGAAAAATACCTGTTCAGAGGAAATCATCTATTAATAAAATCACACTTCTTAGACCACAGGTTACATTCTGATCAGATACCTCAATAAATATTCTAGTAGGCATTCTCAATGTACACTTAAAATACAGAAATTCTAAAAGCACCATCATGTTACTACATTAGCATAATAAACTATAGCATGTTTATTTAAAATAATATGATAATAAATACATTAAAATATTTTTTTACCTAAAGTAGATTAAAAAATAATTTATCTACTAAAATTATTATTTAAAAACCACTATTGGCTCTTAATTGAGAAATAGTTTTAGGGCTGGCTCTTCCATAATGTCTTCCGATGCCAAACTGTAATTTCTCAGCCTTTGTGACATATTTGTCTTAAATGATTGTCATATTAAGAAAATTATTTTGATGCATGGTGATGAGTGCCTTTAGTCTCATCTCTTGGGAGACCAAGGCAGGTAGATCCTTATGAATTCAAGACCAGCCTGGTTTACACAGTAAGCCAGGCTAGCCAAGGCTATAAAGTGAGAAACTGTCTCAACAACAAAGTGGGGGGGGGGGGGGTATTTTGAGTATTTTTTCTAAGTGACTCATTGTAAACATTGTCTATACGTATTTGTCATACATAAATTTAATTTTGTATTTATTACAGATCTCACCTGAAAAAGGCAAAAGGTTAGTTGATGAAAGGTAAAACATTTCTTGTTTGTTCTGTCTTTTCATAATGTTATTGGTTTATATACGTAAGTACAAAAGTAGCAAGCCAAGTCTTTGTTTATAACGTCACTTGCTCATGTGCTATTACTTTGGACAACTAACTTAAAATACAAAAGATTTAAAGCCTGATTAGATTTCTAGAGTAATGAACTGACATCCTTTGAATGTAGTTATCAAAATACATGGCCGACATCTAGAACAACTCAGTACCATCCTGTCTTGCTGTCCCAGATCCACGTTTTGGTCTGTACAGGAACATGAAACTGATGAGTTGCCTGATCCACCCAAATGAACAGTTTCCCCTCTTGAGCCTCTTTGATTAGCATACCGTGATCGTTACCGGACTTGCTCTGTCAGAGGACGGTGTTCCTGAGGCAAGGTGTTTATGGGGCAGCAGATTCTGTCAGAGGAGTTAGGGTCTTACTGAGTCAAAATAAACTGCCACTGTTTATTTATTTATTTATTCCTTAACTATACGAAGCCTTGTGTACGAAGTTTTTTACTTTGATCTCCTTGCCAAAATAGAAGAAAACGTCTGGCAGTGTGTGCATCCATGCTCTATTATCATCTTTAGATTTTTCTAGATCACAGACCCAGATCAATTAGCGAAGATTGGGCCCCATTTCTAATGTTTGTGCTGGTTTTTTTAATGTCTTTAAAGTGCGTACTTTTTTTGCTTCAGGTATTGCTTTTCATTTACCCTTGATATCTTCCTATGGGAAGTGCTTCCCATTTGTCCCTTTACATTTTAAAATGTGTGGTCAGCATTATACATATTGGAAGATCATAAGAAAAAGTGTTGGTAATTAAATTCCCCGTGGAAGTTTAACCATCCACTATGTGGAAAGAGACATAAAGCTGGGTGCTGTCATATTCATGCTGGGATGGTAGTGAGTATGGTGCAGTTCTGTGGTTTCTTGAAAGAAACATGGAGTGTAGGCTTTGGAAATTCTGGACTGTCTGCATCTGTCACCTGAAAAGGTGGTGATAAGTCTTGATTCAACTTGTTTGAATATTGAACATTGAATTGCTGTTAATGAACCCAGGAGACTACCTTGTAAACCACATCTCAGAAAACAAAGACATGGACTTTAAAAATATACTTTATGGCCATCTCAATGAAGGCATTAAGAAAAGAGTCTCAGACTGGACATAATGGCATGGCTTTAATCCCAGCTCTCAGAAAGCAGAGGCAAGAGGACCTCTGTGAGTTCAAGGTCAGGTTGGTCAATAGAGGGATTTCCCAAGCTATCCAGGGCTACAGAGTGAGAACCTGTCTCACATAAATAAATAAATAAATAAATAAATAAATAAATAAATAAATAAATAAATAAATAAATAAATAAATAAATTTTTGAAAGCAAATATTAATCACCTACTGTACACCTTCAAATAATCAATCCCTCAGGAGATGTTACACCCCATTCAGGTTTATCAGTGAGTCAGATTTGAGACTCATAATGGAGACTATTGAATGAAACAAGAGATCACTGGGGCTGGTAGGTAATGTGGAGCATATAACCAGGGAAGAGTCCATTGTATGATTCCCAGAAAATTATTTCGATTCATTTCCATGCAGTTTATCTTTGATGTAGAAGCTCTCCGAGCCATGCAAAAATTCTGCTGGAGTGTAAGGGGTGTAGAAGGATGGCAAATACATAGCCCTTGCCCTCACTGCGTGAGCAATAAAATAGGTGAGATGTGATACATGCAAAAAAAAAAAAAAAAAAAAAAAAAAAAAAAAACCTGAATGTGGTGTGGCACATCAGAGAGGATGCATGCAGCATGTTCAGCTAGACTGAGAATTCTATGGCGTTTAATCTCAGAAGGAATGGGGTTGGCCTTTCCAGGGCAATATGATAAAAGATGTTTTATGGAATAGATGTTTCATGGATAGCTTTTGAGGCATACATGAGCTTGTTCGGAATTTGCATAAGGTACTCAAGGAAAAGCCCAGTGACTTGTTGTGTTTGGAGTATAGACTAAAGGCAATACTGAGAAATAAGACATTTTTGCTTGGTATACTTTATAGAATTGCCCATTAACAGCCGTATTTTAAGTATTGCTATATATGTTTAAAATTCAAATTGTTAAGCACATGGCACACAGTATTATTCACCAACCTTCATTTTGGGTTACTCCTTAGATCCAAATAGAATTTGTGAAATACTTTGGAAGCCCCCCCGACCTTCCGAGAGTGGATGGGAGCGAAAGGAGACCCCACCTCAGCAGACATATGGCATTGCTTACAATAAAGAACATTCTTCTGCACTTGGCATGATTAGCAGTTTATTTTGGCTTAGGGAATGAGTTAGTGACACATATTTCATCAGACAACAGATTTTAATAGTTTATTGTCTCACACATATGCATTGTTAGCTTTTAGAAAATGTTTCACATTGGAACTCACACCTTCAAGTCATGAAAATACAAACTCTTTCTTGGTGTTTCATTTTTTAAGAGCTATACAGCCAACCATCATCATTCTGAATATTTTCATGGAAAGTCTTGCTCCCAAATATTACAGAGGCTTATTATAAATCACAAAATGACAAAAAAGAAAAAGTGTTCATCTATGCTGGTTTTCTTCCATAAATTAAGTTTACTGCATTAGTTTATCATTCACTCAGCACATATTTTTGTCACTTCCAAATGCCAAGCATTTTCTAGTTATGAAATTCATGCAAAGCAAAGGCAGATAAGGTCCCTTTTCTTATGCCCACATTTGAACAGGAGAGGGGTTGGAAAACAAAATAAAACAGACAAATACACATGACTCTAGAACAGACTAGACAGTGAAAATAATTTTTAAAAACCCCTGTCTGTATCATTCCCATCACTATGACCAAACACAGGAAGCAGCCCAGGGAATGAAGAGCCCACCAGAGCCCACAGTGTCACAGCAGGAGCTGGCATGGTGGCTGGGCCTGTAAAGTCAACCTCAGTGACCCACTTCCTCATATCTCAAAGGCTCCACAAACCTCCCAAACCAGTCACCAGCTGGATACCAACTGTCCAAACCTATGAGGCTGTGTCCCTGGGGAGAATAACTCAGATCTAATTATGAAATAAGATGCTAAAATAGCTTTTTCTCAATTTTATCATGACACACTTCTACAAGTGAAAGCTTATTATTACCATTACAAACTCCAGGGGAGACTTCCTAATTCAGTCAGTCAACTGTTGCCCTTTACACTGCCCTTACCAGGGGCCTATAACTAGTGACTTAGACATAAGAGAGGTTTTCTAGAGGAAACTTAATAATATAAGAAAGAGCAGAGGTAAAATATCCTCAAGGAAGACACCATTCTGTGGAGAAATGCTTGTAAACTGGGCACAGCTGGATTCATCACTGAAAGTGTTTCAGAGAGGGACCCCTCTTCACATACTCTCTTCACGTATCATTACCAAATGATAGGGGAATTGGAAGAGAATAGGGAATACCTAATTAACCACATACATGGGAGAACTTTCTGGTCAGGGCAATGGCCTTGTTATAAAAATGCACATCAAGGTGGAGCAGCCAAACATGATCCCCAATGAGTACTCTTGGGGAACCCGTCTCTTCCCAGGCATGAAAGGGGAAGTAAGAGAACCACCCATGCCACTGAGAGATGAAGAGCTGCCTCTGCTGTATCTTCCCATTGAGTCTCATTACCATAAGTCTCTCCATCACCTCTGGCTGTCAAGTCTTGAACAAGCTGGTTTCTAAGCATTGACCAATAGAAGAGAAGATATCAATCAGCAGGTTCACCAGATAGGGTAGGTGAGAGTGGAAATTCAGCATCACGAGAACTAGATAGACTAGATCCCATATCCTTGGCTAGCTACAGAGAGCTGCTTTGGATGTCTGTTCCCTATCTGGAATAGAAACATATTTGTTGTCTCCCTTGACATATGCTCCAGCCATTCCCCAGAGTCAGACATGTGCACAGCTGACACACACATCCATTAATGCCCGGTGGAGATAAGCCAGACACTCCATTTTCTGGAGTGATTA